CAAACTAAAGTAATAAAAAAGTCTAGTAACAGCACAAATGGATTCTACAAACTAACCATCACAAGATACTCCAGCATCCTCAGAGTGTCCACAGTTGTGAGTACTCGAGTGTGTGCAGTTTGTCAAAAACTCTTCTGTTCCTGTGCACTGAACATTATCCAGGAGGATACTACCAGTACCCTGACCAAAGTAGGCACTTGATCGAGCAGTTCCACCTGTCACAATATATCATTCATTGTCAAAAGGAATCAACTCACTTGTTCCCCAGCCTAGTTGTCTACACACTACTGCTGCATCAGGGGAGCCCCAGTAATCATCACAGACAGTGCCCCATGATCCACTATCACACACTTCCACTCTTCCTTCCCAATCATGTGAACCACCAACAAGACGGATCGATCCAGTAATGCAATCTGTAATAAATATTTTAATAACTTGTAATGCATGGGTGTGCCTGCAGTATTTGGTGATAATGATACTCAATTTTAAGTAAACATTGTTGCATTAATGTACTACAGACTAATCAGTAGTGGCTACAACAGTGTCTTACATAATTAATGCTATTAGAACAAGCACATTTATAAACAGGGTTTTTACAAAGAATGCCAAGTGAGTAAAAGAGCATGCATCATGAGCTGACAAGCACTACAATGTTACATGTACACGTACATGTATTTGGCTTTTGAAGCAACTTTCAAAACTTATGATAAATCTTATTGCATAACAAAATATGTAGAATATGTATCAAAAAATCATAAAAATGAAGAATTCCCTTATCCCGTATGCCGGGATATTTTCTCTAAATTTTAGTGAATCTTGCATTTGTAAGATTTTATAAAATAAAATTTTTGCAAATGGCTTGCAAACTGCACCATGTGGCAATGAAAATGCAGAATTTCACAATTTTTATTTTCACAACGGAGCAATAAACCGAGAAAATTGGGCTACTCAAAAAATTTCCCAGTGTACTATAGTCATTTTTGGCAAAATTTGGCTAACGACCCTGTAATATAGTACATGTACATGTAGGGACTTTGGTCCAGTTTTTGAGTAATTTTAATAATTCATTATAAAATTAATTTTATCAGAATCAGCTCAAACGTGCTAGATGACATAAGAATATGTACATTGTAATACATCTGAAAAAATTATAAAAATTAGGAATTCCTTCATAACCAATTTTTGTGAAATTTCTGTACCATGTACTACGAGGACTTTAGCCCAAATAACTTTTTAAATTTAAAAATCTAACTTTTACTTGGAATCAACTCAAAATTTACATACAGCATCATAACTTACAGGCACATCTGACTCCAGCATCTTCAGAGTGAGCACAGTTGTGATTTGTGATGTGTGTACAGTTTGTAAGGTAAGATTCACTTCCAACACACTGGACATCGTCCAACACAATTGATCCATTTCCTTGTCCAAAGTAGGCACTACCAAACGAAGTTCCTATGTTGGGACACTCACACTGTAACCTATAAACCTTTCCTTACCTGAACCATATCCCAGCTGTCTACATACAACTCCAGCATCAGTCGAATCCCAGTAGTCATCACAGACTGTACCCCATGCTCCACCACTGCATACCTCAACACGTCCCTCCAAACTGTTTGCACCACCAACAAGACGAATGGATCCATCATAGCAAGCTATGTATCACAAATTAAGAATCACCAATATACATGTACACATTATATACAGGGTTTCACACAAAGTGGGCTAATTAAGTAAGCTAAAGGGCATGCTTTGTGAGCTGACAAGCACTACAATAGACATGTCCTCTATGTCCTTGAATAAGGATCATGCTCAAATAAACACCCATCACTAATATCATATGCTAATATACATGTATTACAACTACAAAATTGCATGATACATTGTGCATGTAAATACAAGTATATGTAAATTATTAAAATGGAGAATTCTCTCTTAGTCATTTCAGCCAAAATTTGGCCAATGACCCTGTACTATAACAGGGACTTTGGCCTGATATTTAATACCTTTAAAAGCTTGTAATAAATCAATTTTGATTGGAACTAGCTCTAAACTTTACTAAAGCACACAAATATGTACATGTATTACATGTAAATGTACAATGTATTAGAAAAAACTCTTTCCCAGCAATTAAAAAAATAACTTATAAAAAATTATGGTATTTGTCAAATTTTGTAGCAACTTTAAAAATCCACTCACAAGAAGCTGCACAAGTACTATGCTAAATTCCTGTGGGAAACCCTGATCATACACTCACCTGGAGGTGTTGAACAAGTCACTCCAGCATCTTCTGAATGTCCACAGTTGTGATTTGAGGTGTGTGAGCAGTTTGCAAGAAATTGTTCAGTTCCATCACATGCAACATCATCCAATAATATTGATCCATTTCCCTGACCAAAGTATGCACTGCTGCGAGCTGTCCCACCTAAAATTAATCACAGGAAACTACTCACAACACATCATATTAGCTAACTCACTTGTTCCTAGACCAAGCTGTCTACA